ATCTATCTATCTATCTATTTATTATTAGATAACAGGTATAAGTATAAACATGGTTATAAATACATGAAATGGATACGAATAAGAAAAAAAAAAAGAAACAATAGGACAGGGACGGTAGGCACGTTGGTGCGCTTATGCACGCCCCCTACAGACCTCTTGGGAAAGGGGTGAGGTCAATAGTAGACAGTTAAAGTGTTTGGGGTTTGGGGAAGAAACCACAGAGTCAGGTAGAGTATTCCAGACATTGACTCCTCTGTTGCTGAAGTCGTATTTCCTGCAATCAAGTTTGGTGCGGTTTACCTTTGTATCTATTGTGTGCTCTTGTATTGTTTTGGTTGAAGCTGAAGTATTCATTGACAGGTAGGACATTGCAATATATAATTTTATGTACTATACTTATATCAAACTGAAGGCTGTGTAATTCTAGGTTTTCTTGGTCTAGAGTTTCAAGTCTGGTGACATCAGGTATTCTGCTATGAGTAGAGGAGTGGAGGACTCTTCTCGTAAAATATTTCTGGACTTTCTCAATTGTATTAACATCAAATATGTAATGTGGGTTCCATACTGATGAGCTGTATTCGAGTATTGGTCTAGCAAATGTTTTACATGCTCTCGTTAGTAGAGTGATATCACCGGAGAAAAAGCTATGCAGGATTAGGTTAACAACTCTTAATGCCTTTTTGGCTATGTAGTTACAGTGGGCTCTAGCACTTAGATCATTAGAGATGAGTACTCCAAAGTCCTTGACAAAGTTTGTGTCATCAACAAGGTCTTGACTATTCAGCTTTTATTTTATTTTCTGATTGTTTTTGGCAATATGTAAGACAGTATTTATTTGTTGAGATTTGAAGTTGCCATTTGTTTGACCATTCTGACACATGGTTGAGGTCTTTTTGAAGGGTAGCAGTATTGTCTGTGGTGTTGAATAGCTTTACATCATCAGCGAAAAGAACGCAGTTCCTCTTAATATGATCACAGAGGTAATTTATGTATAGTATGAAGAGAGTTGGTCCTAGAACACTGCCTTGGGGACACCACTGTTGACAAGTACAGGATTTGATAGGACGCTCCCAATTTTGACAATTTGTTGCCTGTTTGACAGGAATGCTTCTATCCAGTTATGCAGGTATCCAGAGATTACATAAGATTTCAGTTTTAGGAGTAGTTTGTCGTGTACCACTGAATCAAAGGCTTTACAGAAGTCTATGTAAATTGTGTCAATTGCTTTGCCCTGATGTGTAGTTCATATGTTTTTGCAGTGTAAGAGTTGCAGATTACAGGATAGTTTTTTTCTGAAACCAAATTGTTTGTTAGAGAGTAGGCTGTTTGTCTCTAAGTGGAGGATAATGGATTGGTTAATAATTGATTCCATGACTTTACAGGTGACGCAGCATAAAGAGATTGGTCTGTAATTTTCAACTAGGCTGGGGTCTCCCTTTTTGAAGGGAGCTAGTGGCTAGTGACTATAGATTTGGCAAGGAGCTAGTCCTGAAAGATTTTTCAAAGATTATGCTTAGAGGTTAAGCTGTGGCAGTGGATAGCTTTTTTAAGAAGTAGGCACAAACTCCGTCCGGTCCAATAGATAAAGATGGTTTTAGATTGCATAGTGGTTTTTCAACATTGTCTTCTGTAAAATCGATATGTATTAGATCACTGTAGTTGTCTATGGTTCGACTAGGAAATACTGGGCATGATCCATTGCTGTTTACAAATACTGAGCCAAAAAAGTCCAGTTGTCTTTTGGAGAGAGAAAAAAAGCACCTTTGGGACAATTTTAGTTCTAGTTTGTATCAGGGGCTGTTACTTTCTTCTTTTACCTTTATCTGCCAACTGGTTCAGATTTTTTCAAACCTCCCCTGCCAAAACCACTGTGTTAAGTGTGTGTAAGAGAAAAAGTAACACTTACCAAGTTCAAGCTCAACCTCTTATCCCTGCGCCGTAAAGAATTTTCTTCCATGTCTGCTACAAAACAAAACAAAAGAGCAGAAGGCAATTCATCAGAAATTGCTAAATTAAGAAAAGCACAATATTTTATGAAGAAGGAAAGAGAACTTATTCTAAGCACCGGTACAATATGCAATTTGGGAGAAATTCAAATCTATCCAATTAATCGTGGCCAAAATACATTGATTTGAAGCCCTATTCAATACAGTTGAATTTGAAGTTACTTCATGGCAAGTATTATAGAACTGCAGCATGAACTTACTCCAAAATAAGCCCCTTAGGTCAAATCAAATCAAACCAATCAATTGTGATGAGAGTCACAATTAATTAAGATTAAAACAAAAATATAGTTATCCTACAATATCTAAAAAGGATTGATGGTTAATCTGACATTCTGTGCGGACTACAGAATGGTAGTTGACTATGGTCAAGAAAATGAAATTGATTTGATTAAGATAAAATAAATCAGAATGACCAGGATAATGTATGTAGTAAAGAGTGGAAATAATAATTCCTGGTGATCACTTGCATAAAGAGGGCAATAGAGAATAACATGTTCCATTGATTCAATTAGTCCTCCATCACATGGACATAGTCTCTGTTCGAGAGGCACTTAGGTCCAAGACTAAAATGTGTCAGGAGTAAAGGTCCACATGTGAAGCTCCAATTGATTTGTTTTATTGCTACTCATGCCAATTACACAGGAATCTTAGCACCTGCTTGGAGTTAGATAAGGCTCAATGGAATTCAAGGGGTTCGGACTTAGATCGCTTGTGGCTATGTAGGGATTCTAGGCTGATCCCTCTTTTAAATCCGTCCCCAGGTTCTGCCACTCCTCCTATATCATAAATATTGCAATGGCAGCCTCTGCAGGTGGGGGAGTAAAAAATTTCTTCTTTTTTGTTAAATAACACGGTTGTTAAGTGAATCTAGCTTCCCCATTGACTTTGCTTGTCAGAAGGTCACAAAAGGGGAACACATGACCCCAGACACTGCATAGATGTGAACCAGATGCCAAGGGTCTGAATTTTGATCCCATGACCACGGGGATGCTGCAAATGGTTGTAAATGTGAAAAATGGCCCTAGGTCACTTTTTTCAGTTGTAACTTTGAACGGCCATTAAATGAACTGCTGTAAGTTGAGGACTACCTGCATATGATAAGGATGGAGAACATATTATGTGATTGAAGTTGAGCTGGAGTTGAGTCTACTGTGAAAGACGGTTCATTTGGAAAAATTCATCAGTGTATGTGTGAACGTGTTTGTTTTTATGCTTCAACCGGCACACACCCTTTTAGCAAGCTCCTTTCCAACACAACTCTAGAGTCATGAGTAAGAAGAATAACATTTCCAAGGATGGGTGTTGCTCTCAAAAGCTTCCAAGAATTGGTCAGGACACTGATAAGCAGGCTGGTTCTTTACTATACAAGGGTTAGAAATATGATCCAAATGCCCAGGCAGGGACAATGTCTGTTCGAGGAAGGAAGAGGGAAAAAAAGAAAGAAAAGAAAGAAAAAGAAAATAGATGCAAAATCCCTAAAGACCTTTTAAAAACCGAGCACTGTCTCGCTTATTTCCTCAATGGCAGATTTCCTAATACGGGGTGGATCTCCTCCGTGACTGATAATTGATGACCATGTTGGCTGTTACTGTTATGAGATGGAATTTCATAGGCTCTGAGGACAGTTTGATGTTGCACTGCCTGCAATTCAAGGTTAGCATGCAGCCATCAAAACTAATTGCCATTGCTTGCCATTGCTCCTGTGTTATATTGGCTGAGCTGCTGGGACATTTTGCATCACAAGTTAACCCATATGTTTCGGGCAATGTTGTTTGACCCCATGGAGGAATCTCCATCTAGGCTGGAGGGAGGCATTAAGAGGGGGTTGAGCTTGGAGTCCTTGCACTGCAGAAAGCGACACAGGCCTGACCACCCCCAGAATCCCTGAAGCCTTACCTGACTGATCCCAAGGGAAAGCAGTCAGTCTGGGGAGATTCTTGTAACACTGGTGGCTAGCAATGAAGTAAGTCTCTGTTTGAGATCATTCATGAATGGTTCTGTTTGCTTCCACCTGACAGAACCCAACCTATGTGATTAGTTTGTTATGCTGATTATATAAAGCCTTTGTCTGGCCTCCTAATCAACCTATCTAAATTGGGGTCCATAAAAGATGAATGTGGGGAGAATATTACAATTTGTATGTTGGAGGGCCTTAAAAAAGTTGGGCCTTAAAAAAGCAAGACAGGAACAACATCAGATCATTGGAGCTGTGATGTTGGAGAAGGCTCCTGCATATTCCTTGGACACAAAAGGTGACCAAGAAACAAGTATGGAGCTCATGACACCAGACATGATACTGGAAGGCAAAATTACTAAACTGTGTCTTATTTACTTTGGCCATGTCACACAGGGGAATTCACTGGAGAAAGCAATGATGCTTGGAAGAGTTAGTGGTAAAAGCAAACAGGCTATCAAAGAACATGGCGACTGGACACCATCAAAGCTGACACCAGCCAGAGTATAAAACAACTCAAAGACGCAGTGCAGAATCAGAAGATGTGGAGAGAACCTGGCCCACAGAATTGCCAAGAGTCGGACATGACTGAATGGATAAGATCATCATGTTGGGGGACAGAGAAGACACATATTTTAATAATCCAACTCTGGGATCTCCAAATTGGCCCTTACCTCTCCAATTCTTCATGCTGTCCAGTCCAGAGAGGGAAATCCTCCTTGGAACGAAGATCCCTGGAGAGCTAGAGATCCTTGCATGTCCATTCTGAAGGACCACACCAGCCTGCTCTTCAGCTCTTCTGTCTGGGAAGTGGGGTGGCTTTGGTGGCCTGGGAGGGGGAGTCTTAGCCAAAATCTCGAGTTCGGTAAAGCCATAGGGTAGAGTATTCTGGCTTTTCTCTGCTAGGATGGTTGGCGTCGCAGGAGGCCCTGACAAGGGCGAGGAAGAAGAGAAGTCACCAGAAGGAGGTCCGCTTGAATCTGTGTTTCTTGGAAGGATTCCATGAATGGTTGGCTGGACCATCTCTTGAAGCAGGCCGCCAGAAAGCTGTAAGCACAGTGAGGACTGAGAAGACACGAAGTCAAAGAAGACATCATCGGATAACGTCCTCTCCAGAGAGCGGTCAGAATTGGACCAACTGTGGCACCTGGAAGAGAGGTAGGTGTTACCAACTCCATCTCCGGACCCTTTTTGGAAGCTTCCTCCCACTACAATGGCTCAATGGTTCAATACCTGCAGTGTAGAAGTGCAAAAATGCAAAGAAATAGGTGGTGGTGCTGCTTCTATCATACTTACCTGACAAGGTTTTCCCTCAAATACAGGTAGTCCTGGACATGTGACCACAATTGAACCCAAAATGTTGCTAAATGAGACATTTGTTAAAGGAGTTCTGTCCCATTTTATGATCTTTCGTTGTTAAATGAATCACTGCAGTTGTTAAGTTCGTGTCGCGGTTGTTAAACGAATCTGGTTTCCCCATTGATTTGGCTCATCAGAAATCCCAAAAGGGGAGCCACATGACCCCAGGAGAATGCAAGCAACCGTCTCAAATGTGAGTCAGTTGCCAAGCACCTGACTTTGATCACTTGGCCATGGGGATGCTGCAAATGGTCGTAAGTGTGAAAAATGGCCCTGTTTCTTTTTTCAGTGCCACTGTACCTTCGAACAGTCACTAAATGAACTGTTGTAAGTCGAGCACTGGATGTAATTACGTTACAGATAGGTGCTTTACATTCACCGGTAAGGAAGAACCTTGAAAACTCGAAGAGAGATTTGGGGGGCTAAAGCATGCTTTGAAGGTGAGTTGATCCTTCCAAGGTTCTGCCGTTTGGGACACCTAATTTTATATTTCTGTCTTCCTCTAGGCTCAGGGGTGTCAAACTCGATTTCATTGAGGGCCACAGCAGGGTTGTGTTTAACCTCGGGCGGGCTGGGGGGGGCATGGCCAGTTCGACATTACTTATGTTGGGGGGGCACCTGTGATCCTTCCTTCCTTTTCTTTTTTCTTCCTTGCTCTCTTCCTGTCTTTCCTTCTTTTGCTTTCCCTTTCCCTTTCTCTTTCCTCTGTCCCTTTCTCCTTTCCTGTCCCATGCTCAAATGCAAAAGGGGATATATTTCTCCTTTTATTTTGTTTTTAGTTTGTTTTGTGAGCCCTCTGCCAGCGAAAACGGAGCCCGAGGACCCTGCATGCGGCCTCCTCGGGCCCCGTTTTCAGCCATAATGGCTTCCTGCAGCCCTCTGCCAGTGAAAACGGAGCCTGAGGGCCATACATGCCCCCCACCCGGCTCCATTTTCACTGGCAGAGGCACCATGGACCGGTCCTTCACTGTTTCCATGGCAGCCATGAGGGCCGCATCTAAGCAACCCACAGGCTTCATTCAGCCCGGAGGCCTTGAGTTTGATACCCCTGAACTAGTTACCTTTTCAGCTCAACTCATTTCTGTCCATTGGGACCCACAAGGGTGTCAAATCAGGCAAAATGGTGGTTTCTCAGCATAATTAAACCAAGGTTTCTCTAAGTAACTTTAAGATGTGTGGACTTCAATTCCCAGAATTCCACAGCCAATAGGTTAAAATCCACATTTCTTAAAGCATGCTCGCTGGGGAATTCTGGGAGTTGATATTTACGCTCCTTAAAAGTGACCAAGTCAATCTATTGTCATCAAGCAAACCCATTATTTGTTATGGGGCCTTTCTGCCAAAAACCAGAAACAAACACCCAGTTTTCAGCAAACCCTACCCCACCCACAATAATTTCAGTCATATCATTGTACGAGGCTGCAAACAGCTGTAAATGCCGGCCAGATGACAAAGGCCCAAAATGGGGTCATGTGACTACAGGAAAGGCAGCTGCTAGAACTTCAGAAATGGGTTCTATCTTTCGGAAGAATCGGTCCTCCCTTCAAATGGTTACCAACTGTAAATCAAAGACTACCTTATCCTTTTTTCCAGGCTAAAATAATGCCACTACCAAAGAAAATAATGCCACTCACAAAGACAACAAACTATGTTGTTTTTACACAAGCATCTCAGCAGCGGCAGTACAAAACTTTGACTGTGTCTTGTTGAAAGGATGAAGAGGTTATTGTTTATCTTTATTTTATCTTTATTTTTCCCTATACTGTAACTTTATTACTTGTAAGCCGCCTTACTGAGCAGTGGCTAAGACGCTGAGCTTGTCGATTAGAAAGGTCGGCAGTGCGGCGGTTCGAATCCCTAGCGCCAGGTAACAGAGTGAGCTCCCGTTAATTGTCCCAGCTTCTGCCAACCTAGCAGTTTGAAAGCATGTAAAAATGCAAGTAGAAAAATAGGGACCACTTTGGTGGGAAGGGAACAGCATTCCGTGTGCCTTCGGCATTCAGTCCTGCCAGCAACATGACCACGGAGACGTCTTCGGACAGCACTGGCTCTTCAGCTTTGTAACAGAGATGAGCACCGCCCCCTAGAGCCGGGAACAAGTAGCACGTATGTGTGAACCTTTACCTTTACCTTTTTATGTCGCCTAGAGTTACTGTGAGCGAGTAGGTGGCTTTATAAATTTTCTAAATAAATAAATAAACTGGAGCCACAAACAAGCAATTTCCAATTTGTTCCACCAGTCCCAGGATTGATTATTTATTTGAATCCTGCCTTTATTATTTTACAAAACAAAAAATCAAGGTAGCAAATATATCCAACACATCTTCCTTCTCCTCTTTTTCTCCTAACAACCCTGTGAGTAGTTGGCAGAGAGAGATTGGCACAAGGTCAGCTGGCTTCCATGGCTAAGGCAGGACTAGAACTCACTGTCTCCTGGTATTTGGGGCAAAGTCACCCAGCTGGCTTCCATGGCTAAGGTAGCACTAGAACTCACTGTCTCCTGGTGTTTGGGCAGTGGTGGGATTCAAAAATCCCAGCAACAGGTTCACTGCCTAGTTGCTGGGTGGGCATGACCATGGTGAATGTGGCCTACCGGAACTTCCGGGAGGGCCGTTTTTCGCCATCCCAAATGTCCGGAGGCCTCCCCCGGGCCTCTGGGAAGGCGAAAACAGCCTCCCCCAGGCTCTGGAGGCCCTCCGGAAACCAGAAACAGGCCCGTTTCTGGACTTCCCAAAGGCCCGCTTTTCCCCCCTCCCAGAGCCTGCACACGGACCCTGCACTTAACTTAATAAAAAATGGGCCACACAGGGAGGGGGGGACGGACGAGGCCAGCTGGTCAATTGAAATACCGGTTCGGTGAACCAGATGAAAACTTAACATCCAGTTCACCCAAACTGGTCCCAACCGGTAGAATCCCACCCCTGCATTTGGGGCAAAGTCACCCAGCTGTCTTTCATGCCTAAGGTAGCGCTAGAACTCGCTGTCTCTTGCTGATTGGACCAATATCACCCAGCTGGCTTTCATGCCTAAGGTGGGACTAGAACTCACCGTCTCCTGGTGATTGGCCCAAGGTCACCCAGGTAGCTTCCATGGCTAGGGCGGGACTAGAACTTCCGTCTTCTACTCTGGTGCCTTAACCATTAGACCAAATACCTAAATCACCCCAAGTTTAAGAACGACTGTACTTAAGTATAATTACCTGTACTCCCATTAAGCTTCAGATCAGGCTATGGTATCAGTGAGAATAGATCTCTACCTTTGTATAACTTCAACAGGATTAGAAAAAGGGACTGAGGCGAACCATTAACAAGGTGGGACGCTCACCTTGCTGAAAAACCCTTGCTGAGCTCCAAAACATAGGGAAACAAAATCACATTTTACTTAGGACAGATACATTTTACTAAGCCACCAATCATGGTTTAAGTCTCACAGAGCTCATCAGTTCTACGGAAAAGGCAGCCCAGGGTTGTTTCGTTACAAGATGGGTGGCAAATTAATTTAATAAATAAGCAAATAAATAAATCTGGCAGCCAAGAGCGTAATTCTACCTAACATGGCTGAGTTTTCCCGTCTCACAGTTGGATAAAAAGAGATAGTCAGGCAGAAAGACAGATTCCGACTCGCTGGCTGTCTCCTCAGCTGCTGCTGCATCGGTGCTGGCATGGTCGGAGGTGAGAGACGGGTTGGCACTCCTCAACGCGTGGGCAGAAATGGCCGGAGAAGGTTGCGGGGAAGACGTCGTGTGGGACAGGCTGTCCCCTGAATCTGCAGCAAAGAAAGCAAAAGCTGGCTTAGGAGGGATCCTCAGGAATTGTGTAGGATTTTCCTCTACAACAAAGCCTGGAGGGTTTGCAGCCTACATTCTTTATCCTTTATTGCCTGCTGTCTGATGTGTTGGAATCTGTTGGGACAAACATGGAAAATGAGGTCAGGGTTTGGAAGACAGCCTATCCTTCCAGGCCAAATTGGGCTGAAACAATCAATGTGTTCCACGTTGTTTTCTTTGTTGCCCAAAGTTTTTTTTTTTGGGGGGGGGGGGGGGAGTGCGGAGAAGGCATCAATCATCTTGGCTAACTTGAAAAGAAGGCCTCTTAAAGACACACGTTTCAGTATTTTGACACCGTCTGCCACCAACTCCACAGGGGTTTGCTGGCTCTCAGGCTTTGAAACTTGGATCGAGGTCTCCACAAGGCAGATTAAAACAAAATCAACAGGATGCAACTGAAGCATTGTATCTCCACTGTGTGTGCAACCTATGTAACCCATCATCCTGACTTCGTTGACTATGACTTGCAGGTATTCCTGGTTGGGTGGGGGAATGGCTTCTAAGATTACAAAAAGGTTGCCAACCTTTCCACTAGATCTGTGTTTCTTAACCTTGGCAGCCTGAAGAGATGTTGGACTTCAACTCCCAGAATTTCCCACCAAGCAAGTTGAAGTTTGCATATCTTAAACCATGCTGGCCAGCAAATTCTGGGAGTTAAAATTCACACTTCTGAATGCACGCTGGTTGGGAAATTCTGGGAGTTGAAGTCCACATATCTTAAAAGCATGCTGGCTGAGGAATTCTCTAGACGAAAATTTTCTGATTGTGATATAAAAGTACCCCTGCAGATGAATTTATTAATAGTATAACAGCAAATAAAGTCCCTTTCAGGGACAGGAGGTATTCCGATTTGGACTGGTGTGAAAGAATCTAATTTAAACCGGGAAAGACAGAATATACAATTGCAGCAACTGTCTTGAAATATGTACGGACTTGTTTGCCAAGGAATGGATATTGTGTGTAGCACTTTCAAGACTGTGTGTTTAAGTCTTGCTGGTAAACCAGTCACAAACTGTACTTTTCTTTTGGCCTTTACAACTCGTGTCACTTAAACACTTTCCACCAGTGGATATGCAGATGTACCAAAGGTGGTTAGGACATTAAATTTCTGACTCGGACATATAAATATAAGTCCAGGGATAGGAGAGGTACAGAAAGCCACCATATCAACTTTTTTGAGATCCCCACAATAACTCCACAAAAACAGACTAACAGATGGTGGATCAAACCCTTAATGGTATGTGCAGTTTTGGGAAAGAGACACACACCGAGACACACACCTTGGCCACAGAAATATTATTCTCCAACACTCACATGTTCACACATTCGTCGTAGGCAGTTTCCTCTTTACATTTTATGCAATGGTGAACTCTCCATTTCAGGCTATTCAGATCAACAAATGTTGATGCCTTAAGACAGGGGTCCCCAACTCCCGGTCTGTGGACTGGCACCGGTCAGCAGCATGCCACAAACCAGGCCACGCAAACAAGCAAAGCCCCATCCGCAAGATGCAGGCACGAAACCAAGACCCCTCCAGTCCGTGGAAAAACTTCTCCATGGAACTGGTCCCTGGTGCCCAAAAGGTTGGGGGCCACTGCCTAAAGAAACCCACTACACCAGGATTGACAGCAGTCCCTGTTTTTATAGAGACATTGACACACATATGACAGCTGGTGAGATTTAGGGTTTAAAGTGCTGGACTAGGAGTGGGAAGAAAACTAAACATATGAATAACAGTTGCAGGAATTGGGTATGTCTAGTTTAATGAAAAGAAGGACTAGGGGTGACAGGATAGCAGTGTTACAATATCTCAGGGGCTGCCCCAAAGAAGAGGGAGTCAAGCTATTCTCCAAAGCACCTGAGGGTAGGACAAGAAGCAATGGATGGAAACAATTCAAGGCAACCTAAAACTTAGGAGAAATTTCCTGACAGTGAGGACAATTAACCAGTGGAACAGCTGGTCTTCAGAAGTTGTGAATGCTCCATCACTGGAGGCTTTTAAAAAAAGTCTGGACAATCACTTGCCCAGAATGGTATAGGGCCATGATGGCAAACCTATGGCACGCGTGCCGAAAGTGGCACGCAGAGCCATTTCTGCCATCACGCAAGCCGTCACCCAGAACTGATCCACTGCCCATGCACGCGCCCCCCGCCAGCCAGCTGATTGTTGGGTATCCGCTGCACATGCATGGGGGGAGACGCGCACGGGGGGTGGTGTCATGTGTGCATGCGCAGAGGCACGTGGCGCAGAGGAGGTGCATGTGGATGCACAGGGGGTGGGGGGACGTGTGTGCATTGCATTATGGGTGCAGGCACATGTGCGCGTGCGCATACTTTCAGCACATGACGACGAAAAGGTTAGCCAGCACTGGTCTAGGGTCTCGTGATTGAAAAGGATTGGTTTAGGACCCTGATGGCGAACCTATGGCATGGGAGCTGCAGGCAAACTTAACTCACTGCACATGCGCCTGCCTCACAGCTGATTTTCGGACAGTTTGAGGCCTTTTTTGGCTTCCCGAAGGCTTGAGGAAGGCTTCTGCAGGCCGAAAACTAGCCCCGTTTTGTCACTTCCTGTTTTTCCGAAAATACCGGAAGTGATGAAACAGGCCTAGTTTCCGGCCTGCAAAGCCTGCAGAAGCCTTCCTCAAGCCTCTGGGAGGCCGAAAAAGGCCTCAGACTGGCCGAAAATCAGCTGTGAGATGCTGTGCAGGTAAGGGAGTGGTGGGTGGTGATTGTGTACGCATGCGTAGGGGGTGGGGAGCGCATTGCCTTCTGGGTGCTGGCACGCGAATGTGCAAGCGTGCGCACAATTTTTGGCACAGGAGCCCAAAAAGGTTAGCCACCACTGGTCTAGAGACTCCAAGCTCCCTTCAACTTTGTTATTCTGATTCTGAAAGTAACCTTGATTAGGCACAGGAATCAGCTGGCTGACTCTGATCCATTTCAGACCCCTGACAGGGTTGCAGTGGATTGGTGGATGGGGGTATTTGCAGGAGGAACAATCCTGTGATAGAATGTGGTCTGGATTCCCGGGAAAGAGGAGGTGCTTTCCAGAGGAGCAAGAGATAATGCAGTTTAGATACTTCGTACGAGAAAAAGAGGATGAAGATGACTCCTTCCTGATAGTTCCCAGAGTTATATTTTATGGTGCAAGTAGTCTGCTAGAGACAGATTTATTTCTGACTACAGCTGAGGAACGTGTCCAGCTATTGCAGCAAGACAAACCATTTTGAGACATAAAACTTCAGCTTCGATTGTGTGATAACAGCTGTCTATAGGACTTTTCTCTTCTCTCTTCTTCCTAACCAATTTTTTTGAAAGGAAAGTGGTCACAAAAAAAGCCCCCTCCCAAGCTCCCCTGCAAGGGTGAGAAGGTCCTGTTTCTCACAGCAGTGTTCAACCGACAATTGAAAGATAAATAAATTTAAACGTTTGTTATGGAAAGCCACCAGGTGTTTACACTATGTAGAAATTCGACTTCCCTAATCTGTAAACATTACAGAGGAAAAGAGGCCAAGATATTAACCAAAGCAACATTTCCAAGAAGCAGAGCGTTTATATTGTGGGAAGACATTACTGTTGAAAAATGGGCAGCCAAACACTTGCTCCAGGTGTTCGAGGCACTCTTTCAAAAAAACTTCAAAAGTACAGAAGTGATTTAAGCCCAAACCCAGCAATTGTTTTGCAGAACCTGGGTGTTAGTAGGTAAAGCTCTTCCTTGTCCAGTCGTGTCTGATTGCACAGGGGAAACATTTACCTTTACCTATTGACACCCAGGAGGTGCCCATCTCTGTTTCCTAACCAAGGGAGCCAGTCACGAGGTGGTAATTCAGCAGGTTCTGACCAGTTCTGGAGAACCGGTAGCGGAAATTTTGAGTAGTTCAGAGAACTGGCAAATACCACCTCTGACTGGCCCCGCCCCCATCTCTTCTCCGCCTCCCATCGAGTCCCAGCTGATTGGCTGGTCTCCTTTTGTTGCCCTGCACAGGAGAATGGAGCTGGAAAGCAGGTTAGTGGGGTGGGGAGGGAATGGAGATTTTGCAGTAACCTTCCCCCAGGAATGAGGACGGAATGGAAATTTTACTGTATCCTTCCCCTGCCACGCCCACCAAGCCACACCACGCCCACCAAGCCACGCCCACCGAACTGGTAATTTAAAAAATGTGAATCCCACCACTGGAGCCAGTGTTGTCTGAAGATATTTCCGTGGTCTTATGGCCAGCATGACTCCATGCCGAGGTGAACAGAACGCTGTCACATGCCCACCAGAGTGGTACCTATTGATCTACTTGCATTTGCATGCTCTCAAATTGCTGGGGAGAGTGCAGAAGCTGGAGTGAGGACGGGAGCCCGCCTAGTGGTATTCTACCGGTTTGGCCCGGTTCTGCAGAGCTGGTAGCAGCGATGAGCAGCGGAGACCAAACCGGTTGTCTCCGCTGCTCTGCTGTTGGGGCCCCGCCGGGCTCCCATACTCACATTTATCTGCTGAATTTGAAGCGCAGCTGCTTTGCACGGCACAGAAGAGTGCTGCGTGGCACTCTGCTGAAGCGACTGGGATCGTGCAGGCGGTGAGTTAGAATGCCTTTGCACCTGCACAAACGTCTCTGCGCCTGCGCAAAGTGCGTGTTTGGCGTGCGCGTGCACGCAAAGTGTGTGCACGCATGCAAAGCGCACCCACCAAGCCACGCCCACTATTGGAATCCCACCACTGAGCTCACCCCTCGGGTCTCGAACCCAGCAACTTTAAAACTGCCGACCCACTATGCCCCGGGTATCAATAGGTAACACCAATTCCCTTATAATGTTCCCAAACCCACAAGACTTCCAAAACTCATTGCATTTCAGCATTCTCATTACAGGAGGCTAGAAAGCCAGTAATTTGAGTAATAGATTCCACGGTTTTCGTACAAAAGCTGACGAAATTTCAGCATTCTCGCAG